TCGACAATCAAAATGGCTACAATCTGAACTGGTGTTTCTGCAGTGCTTCATCGAGTAGCAAATTCTCGACAGTCTCATTGCGTGTTGCAATATTGGCGGACAATGCACTTACTAGGAAATCGAGCAACGTGGTTGTTTTCGGGTCGTTTTTCAGCTTTGGATCCAGAAAATGAGGTGTGATGACGTAGCATGTTGACATATTGGTTGAGCACTCGCCCTTCTTCTCATCTGATGCGATCTCTAGGTCTTCAGGCTTGATCACCACGTGACTCTGTTCGAGTATGTAGACTCCACTAACAGGTTCGTTTTCGAACACAAACGGCTCAATATACGCGTTCCACACGAACACAATACGGTTGTCCTCGACATACCGTCGTAGAATTTGCTGTCCATACGACGTAACTGACGTGTTGGTTTTCAGATCCTTCATTTCCAGTCCAAAGCTCTCGGTGACCACATTTGTTGACGTATCAGGCATAAGTCGACGCCTATAGTTGTGCCAGTGTCTCCACCACGCATCGCCAGTTTCTTGCAGTGTAAACGGCACGATTCGCTTATCGAATAGTCGTCGATACATTCCTTTCATGCCTCCACGGAGCAAAGGTTGATGTGACACCACGTTCTTCGGGACAGGTCCGTTGCCAGCAATAATCGCCTCCACTTCGCGATATGACACTTCGACGCTGGCAGAAAGCTCATCAAAGATGAATGCTGCGACGCGCTTGATGTATTCTTCAGGGAGGTCTGTCCTCCTGGTATGTTTGCCAGGTTGCGCCATCTCCCGCAGAGCCATCTTCTTGAAGAGCATCTTCTCAATGCTCTTGACAACGCGCTTCTCTTCTTCCCACTGTTTCTTCAGCTTAGCGTTCTCCTTTTCTGCTTTCAGTCGGCGATCTAGCTGCCGAGCACAAATGTCTTGCCACACTTTTGGAATTGCATTTGCACTTTCCTCCGTAGTTTGCGCAGAAATGTCTTCCATATGACACTCCCGTTCACTGCGAATGGCCTTCAACTGCTGCAACGTGAGCTCCAAGTCTTCCGCTTCTCTCCGCAGCTTCACCACCTCGTAGCGCCGTTCATCACGCGCTCTGTTGGAGTTCAACTGCTTGTTCCTCCTCCGCTTTGGCTTCTGTTGTTTCTTCGCTTCTTGAGGAGTTGACTTCGCAGTACCTGAAGGTGTCGAATCAATGCGAAAGTCTCCACTATCACCGTCCAGTTCCGCCAAAAGCTCGTCTGGATCCCACTCCGCATCGCACATCACTGACAACGAATCGCCAACACAACCAACATCGAAACCATCGAATTCCTGGTCAAGGAAGGTCAAGGCGTTCATCTTTACTTTTATTTTACTAAAAAAATAAAACTTCAGAATTGCAACTAATTGGGTATCTCACACAAACTACACAGCCAATCACAACGCGTAAAATTCAAAGAATGGCGTCCGACCTGGAGGGGACGTTGGCGCTGCTGGACGAGGCTCCAGACGCTTCACCTGCACTCCAAGCACCCAAATTGCGCTCGTCTGTTGCTGACTGGGAGTCAGACTTGCTCTGGGAAATTCTAGATGAAGACGTCGGCGACTTCAGCGGCGTAGAGACGTTCACTTCGCCTTCTTCCGACCATTTCACAGCTAATTCAGTGGCTAAGAAGAAGAGGAAGAAAATCAACCCGAACAAAGCGCGAGACGAACGGCGCTTCCAGTTGGTTGCGTTACAACAACAGGTAACGGACTTGGAGTTCACTTTGAAGCGACTGCAGACGATTCGAGCCAAAAGACCGACGAGATTTCAACACTCCAATCGTTACAACAATACTGGCGTTCCTCGTGTGTGGCAGGACATTTGCACTCGTCAAATCCGTAGACGAGTGGAGGCAGAACGAGAGAACATGCGGCTAAAAGAGCAGTACGAGAAGGAGAATCAACTGGTCAAGAGCTTCCAGAAGCTGCTCCACAAACGACGAGCATTGTCGATGGATGCAGAACCGCAAGCGACAAAACAAACCCGACGGACAGACATTCCACCCGGGTACATTGAACGAATGACGGCGTTGATCTTTAAAGAACTTGCAGCTGGAGTGAAGATGTGCTACAGTAAAGTGGAGAGCGCATTCGAGACCAATCGTGCTGTTCCGATGAACTTGGTGGGTCATAGTTCTTTACTAGATAAAGGGATCGCTATGAAAGGCATGGAACAACGGTTTTATGACAAAAGAACCATGCCCTTTGATATGCGCGCCGCTGGAGCTGCGTGGTGGGAAAATTGGCACAACTACAGAGGCCGGCGCTTTCAAGATATCACAGCGAACGAGATTACCGAAAGTTTTGGACTGGAGATGAACGACTTCAAGACCAATACATCTGCCACAGCTTATGCACAACAAATTTCTTGTCGACATATTGAAGATGATCGGATCGTGTATGTATGGGATTCGTACATTGAGCCGTTTGGGTTCGCGAACGAACCGATCGACGGTGTTTATTTTCTAGAGCAGAATTATGTGCTGATTCAACCTGAAGACTGGAGTTCGGAGCGAGCCTGTCGAGGAAACAATGTGTGCTCCACGCGTGTGTCGACTTGCTATGTGATCACGCCTCATTTTATGGATTCCAACCTGAAAGAAGATGCCAAAACAGGAACACTGATCAGCTTTCTGGTGAGCGCTCTCTCCACGAACATCATGGCGCTTAGCGCAATGGTGGAAACTCTACTGCTTGACCAGGCTCTGCAGGGTTGTATAGATAACTAATTTGTTGTCACAGAATGCAGCTCATTGTTTTCAAATATATTCGAATGACTAGGACTGTGGCGACGTCGTCCACCTATCTTTTGACGGGGCAACCGTGTTTTCTTGAAGTTTGAGAAGTCTGCTTGGTTAGGTTCGTTTTCCTGACAAGTACACACACTAAGACCTTTGCTTACGAAATTATTCATTATATCGCACTGCACTTTCATATTTGGTATGATTTCACTGCTGCTGTAGTACTACTACTGCAGTAGTAGAAGCCTCGTTTATCCATTACATGTACCGACTTGGAGGATTTACTGTTAGGACCAAATTTACCGGAATGCACTCATTGCGCATCATGATATTAGAAGACAGCGAGCTCACCACAAAATCAGTCAGCGCGACCATCTCAGGGACATCCCTCAACTTTGGATCTAAAAATGGGGTGTTATGATCTCGCAAGTCGACATGCGCGTTGAGACAGCTTTCTTTGTGGTTGAAGAAGTCCGACTATCAGATTTTATAACCACGTGCTCCAGAAAATAGACGCCATTCACACGTTTGTTCTCGAAATTGAATGGCTCAATGTACGAATTCCAGACGATCACAGTACGGTGGTCTTCAATGTGCCGTCTTAAAATCTGCTGTACGTAGAACGTCGCAGAAGAGTTCGCTATCACGATGGTACATTCCAATCCAAAACTTTCAACGACAACGTTGCCTGCTTGTTCAGCTGAGGCGTGGCCTCTCTAATTATTCCAATGTTTCCACTATGCTTCTCCAGTCTCATGCACACCAAACGGCACCATGTGATGGTCAAAAGCTTCTATGCGCATGCCATTCATGGCATCCTGCAAAAGTGGTTTCTCCGTCATCTCATTTGTGGGAACAGGACTATTCATCTCAATAACAATTTCAGCAACTCGATAGAGTTTTCTACGCCAGTTGAGAACTCATCATAGAGCACCCATGGACTTCAGTAGGAATCTCGGTGCGTCGTGTACGGGTATTTTCTCCCAGATACACTAGGTCTCGTTGCAAAGTGTTCCGCCGTGGTTCAACGAGCAGCCACAACGTCTGGGGTCTCAGTGAAACGTTCACTGGAAATCACTAGCCAGCGCGTCTCTACTGGGGATCTTCTTGCCCGGAGGAGCGTATCGCAGAGAGTGTGTCCCCGGTCGTCTGGGGTACACGCGTGACTAATCACGCCGATCGCCTTCCTGTTCCTGAGCCCGAGGAGTACGTTATGCCCCGCGGTCGTCGTTAGTTCCCAAGAACCAAGCTAGCCCGGGTTTTCCTAATCCCAGAGCCTCCGTATGACTTCTTAATATATCTTTGCGTCTGCTTTGTTTGTATTGTTGTCTCTGAATCTTCTCGTGTTTTTAGGTAATATGTATATGTCATGCACACATGCAATCACTCGTGCCCCCAGAGAGTATTCTCATACGGGGCCACGAGGTTTCTGGGGGACACTCCAGAGCCTATTACTGCAATGAGCTCTGAGTCCTTACCCAGGGCTCTACCGGACTTCTTCGTCCGGGAGCTCGTCTCCAGACTGCATTGCTTGGAAACGCACACGGGGTCGCTTGGTCGAACTCGTAGAGTAGCCTCCCGCAATAGAGACGCCCCTGAGGAACCCAGTCCGGTTGCTTCATACCCTTCCATTTCACTTGGTATTCCTTGACGCGCCGGCTGGTGCGGGTTCGGGTGACCCAGCGCACATCGAGTATTGCTTCCACTTCGTATCCCCGACCTCGAAACCTTCCTTGAGTCGGTCCGTGAGTTGTTTCCACTTGCGATTGTGGTCCTCGGCTCGGCGTTTTTGGCCTTTGCCTGGAGGTCCCGGGCCCAGGCCCTAGCGTACTCGACCTGGCGCTGGATCTTCGTGCGCTATTCCTGGGCGTCTCGGAGTTGGACGTCCCGGGGAAAGTCTCCCATCATGGCTTCGACGGTACCCTGGGCGTCCCAGCCGTGTACTAAGTAGAATGGCGTATCGACTCGAGTAAAGTCGAAGGAGGTGTTCTGCGCCCACATGAGCTTTTCCGCCAGCTCTTCCCAGTCGCTCTGGTCTACCGTCTGTACGTATGCTTTGACTTCGGATCACTGTCTGCACTGACGTCTCCTGTTGTACGGTGGGGACGGTAAGCTAGAGTCACGCGTTCTCTGCTCCCGAACATATCCCGGAAGTGTTTGAACACCCGATCCATGAATCGCGTGTCTCGGTCGTGGCGGATCATTTCGCTGGCTCTGAATCTCCGGAACATGCATTCTTCCTAGGCTTCAGCCACATCTTGGGCTTCAGTGCTCGCCATGGCTTTACACATGATGAAACCTGAGAACGCGCACTGGAGCGGGAGTAGTGCTGTGTTCCCCCGGGCTGACTGAGGCAACGGTATAACAAAGTCCATCGAGACGACTTGGAATGGTCGCGTAGCCAGCAAATTGCTGGGTGACGAACCGGGGTTCCGGGGTAACCCCTTAGCCGTAACGCAACCCACGCACTCTTTGACGTATCGTTCAGCGCCCTTGAACATCCCAATCCAATAAAATTCTTTGCGCAATCTTTGTAAGTCCGGATGATACCCTGATGGGCACGTTGGAGGTCCGCGTGACAGTAGTGAAGGGTATCCCCATGGAGGTCCTGGAGAACTACCAGGCGGAGACGATCAGCAGCGTCCCGGGGACGTTCTGAAGTGTTTCGACTCACATAGAACCACGCGTCCCGGGAGTCCAGGACAAACTGGTCCGCTATCTTGGCCAAGTGTGTTGTCTGCCTCAGGGACAGCTGTTCTGTCTCGCCTCGGAGGAAACTTACTAGGGGTTCTAGTCCCGGGTCGTGTGACTGGTGGGAGCAGATCTTCCTCCATCGTTCTCTGCGATCGTCTTCGGGGGTCCTCTTCAGAGTCCTGGAGATCGGGGCTTCTGGGGAAGACTGTCGGTTCGTCTTCCGTGCCCTCGGTTCCCGACTCGTCGATTCTGGGACCGATGGTTTCAGGGTCGTCAGCTCTGGGTTCTGGAGTAGATTCCACTGTAGCTTTGCTTTACTCGGACGCGGAGCGTGTCGTCGCGAATGCCAAGCCTCCTGGGGAGCACCTAGGTATACACCACTTTGATTCCAGGGTGGCTTTGAGTTAATTTTTGGTTGCAGTCTACAAACTATGTATTACTGAGGGCCAACGAGTTCTGTTACAGTTCATAGCTAGGAATGCGCACTCCACCAGCGACTGTTCTCGAGGACTCAGGTCCTTCATCAGTTTTTGTGGATTCGGTTCAGGCCTTGAAGCAACTTCCGTTCCCCGAGGTCCGTGACTTCCAGTGATGACTGCTCTTGGATGACCCGCTTGGAAATGTAATCGGCGGCGGCGTTGAAGGCTCTCTTCGCATGTACTAGGCGCAAGGATTTCAACTTAGCTTGGCGTCCTTCGGCTTCCTGAAGCAGCCTCAACAGGTGGGGCTGAGTACAACCGATAACCCCCTGGAGCTGCTGTATTGCTAATCGGGAGTCTCCGACTACAACCAATTCCTGGACTCCCGCGTCTAAAGCGAGTTGCATGCCTTTGACTAATCCAGAGGATTCGGCCTCGTTCACGGTAGCCTTCTTCAGGAAGTGTCCCGTGACCGCCACGATCTCCCAACTCGGGAGGCTCCAGAGAATGCAAGCGGCACCCCCCCGACCCATCTCTCTTGGAAGCTCCATCAAAACTCAGCAGATGCCCGATGTAGTCACACTAGAGAGCATTTCTAGGCTGACTAGGGGTGTCTTGATCCGGAAGCCCTTTTCCGGAACTAAGTTCTCGGCGACATCGTTGAGACGTCGCCGCCAAGCCATCTTTGTCGTTCTCGACTCGCCGAATATCCAGGTCCCAGGGAGACAGGTTGACCGCCCACTTGAGGTACCTCCCGTCCACCGTCTTGGACTTGAACAGCCACGCCAGCACTGAGTACCGGGTATACACGCGAATTTTCTTCTCGGAACAACTCGTAATCATGGTGTGGCATGTGTTCAGGACTCGGAGCAGCGCTAGGACTTCCTTCTCGGCGGGGTGGTACCGGAGTTCGGTATCTTGGAGAACTCGTCCCACGAACCGCACAGGTAATATGGTGCCGTCGTTATCTTGCCCGAGAACTGCGCTGATAGCCCAGGGATTGGCGTGCAATATGATTACATACTGCCTCCCGGGGTCGGGGTGCTGGAGTAGTGGTGTCGACACTAATCGGTCCTTGAGTATCTTGAAGGCATGTTTGGCCTTCTCCAGATCTCGTCCCGAGCGGCGTTGCTCGTCTGATGCTTCGTAGAGGGTAGCTCCGAGCACGGGTAGGTCCTCGATGAACTTAGCATAGTAGCTGAGGCTCACGAGGAAGAACTGTACTCCCTTCTGGGTCTTCAGGAAAGACAAATTAAGGACCTTTTCCGCTAGCTTCGGCGACGTCCGGATTCCGTCCGAGCTGATGTCGTGCCCGAGGTACTTGCATTTCTTGACCCCAAACTCACTCTTCGGAAGGCTCACCGAAATGTTCCAGTACCGCAGTCGATATAGGAGGGCATTCAGCGTTTTGCACAGGGTATGCCAGGACGGAGCTCCGTAGATGATGTCAACGATGTACGAACTCCGAGACAGCACAGGCCTCATCTGCTCCGGGGCGACCTGGTTCTGATGGAACACGGTGTCTGTGCTGGTCCTGGAGACCACCGCCCCCCCGGGGCTTCGTGCCCTGGGATACTGGAGCGCCCGAGTCCTCGGGAGATATTCCCAAGAACTTTAACACCTCCGGGTCGACAACCCGTTCATCTTCCGGGGGTAGCCGTACGAAACCCCAACGACAATTGTCCAGAAGCTGCTGGTAGATCAATGGGGCGTTCTTCAACCCGAACGGCATGCGCTTTCACTGGAAGTGTCCGAGCGGACAAATGAAAGATCAGCTGGGATCGGCTGTCGTCATGACTGCTCAGAACCCACTCACTACGTCCAGAGTCATGAACCACATAGTGGCGGCGAAGTTGCTCACGAGGTCGTCGATTAGGGGTAGGGGGTAGTTCATCAACTTGATCAGCTGGGTGTGGTGTCGGGATTTCCAGTGCGCAGGACTTGGCAGCGCGAGTGCAGTG